TATATTCATCATCGTTGTCATCATTAGTTTTATTACCTTTATTAATATTAATGATAGGGAATGATATTTCCATTATAAGTACTATGTTATTTTATTTTTCTAATACTGTTCCTGATTCTGCACAAATATGTTACTATTTAACATTGTACTTATAGGTATGGTAATTTGATTTTTGAAAAGAAACACATTTACAGAAATTAGTGAAGTAAGAAATTAATTATCAGAGGAACAGCAACTCAATCCTTTGTTGTCTTTTACAGGCTCAGCTAAGAGCAAGTGTCTTTCTTGCCCTAGAGGAGGAATTTAAAGATGTAAGTTGATAAAAATGCCATTGGCACATGTTATAATTATGTGGACAGAAACTTTAGTAATGATATTAAAGTCTTTTGATAGGTCAGGACATATGATGATTACAAATTGCCAGGTAAATGAATTGATCAGGAGAAAATTCAAATGTGTGTTTTTTTATGAAATCATGAGTAATGATTTCTTTGTTTTTTCTTTAGAACTTCATTGTTATTCTCAGAGCCCTCTTTAACTGTTAGTATAGAGACTTGTAAATTGATATTGAGTGACACAAGAATCATTCTTTCAATGTTTAGATGTTATTAATGTTTAGATAAAGTGTTTTGGGTTCATAATCAAGATGTAGCTTTGTAATATAATGATTTGACTGATATATTTTTAGAAACGTAACAGTAGACCATTGCATTTAAGTGTATTAACTGAATATTTTCCTCCAGAAAAATATTCCACTGGTAAGTGCCTCTGCAAAGCAGTTACTGGCAACTCCAGAAGGAGTCTTAGCTGCTGCATTGGTTCATAACTTCCTTCAGTGCCTTAGTCTGGATTTTTCTCTTGCTGTTTTTGCTCCTGAATCAGGACATTCAACACTATGGACATTCCCAGGAGAAGATGCCTTATCAAGCAATCTCAACCTCAGTAATAAGCAAGGTAAAAACTCTTAAACATTTTGTTTTTTGATTTTTCAACATATATGCACAGTTAAATTGTTTTTATTATAAATGGTATTAAGATAGTTGATCTTTGGTGCTTAACAATAATCAGGGGATGAAAATAGCATGTAAAATATATATTTATTTATTTTTTCCCTCCCAGCTGGTGATAAAGCTCCATTACTAATAGAACTCCTGAAAGAAAGGACATCATCTAAGCCTTCTGAATTGGGGGTAAGTTGAATAAGTTAGTGTGAGAGATTTGTTTATGCTAAGCATTACCTGAATACATAATTTGGAAAAGAATTGGATAAAGTATACTATATCTATGTGTGTTTTGAAAGAATGAGATTTCTTTTTTTTTTTTTTTTTTTTTTTTTTTTTTAGATGATCAGTAGGTTTCTAGTGGGCCTTCCTCTGGCTGCAATTTTTGTCAAAGGAACATGTTACAGGGAAATATTTACATTTGAAAGTTTACATACTAGTAACTCCCTTCATTATCATATGTTTCTACTATTTACAATGAAAATGTATCTCTATTTGATAATTTAGTGAAGTGGGTGGTGATAATAGGTAAGCATATTCTGCTATTTCTCTTAAATAGATTATTGTTTTGGTGGTAGACCTGCAATTTCCGACAGCCATATGATCAAACAGTCTAAGTATGCAGGGGCTTACTTTGTGTTTGTGTGTGTTAGAGCCATCAAAGTGTAACATTCCAAGGGAGAGCCATAACATTTTTCACAGAAAAGTTGTAAAAAATGTATTCAACCCAAAACTAATTGTGTAATCAAAGTAATGGAAATGGGACCTTGTTATATTTGCAGTATGATATTATAATATTGCAAACTCAATAGATTTACTTAATAATTTATGATATTTATCTGATTATGATACTGCAATCATTTTTGAAGACCCTAAGATTACATTATTTAGAGGAAAAGATGTCAAAAATGTACATAACTCAAAATATATTCTACTTACAGCATAATAGAGAAAAAGGAGTGTTGAAGGGCAGGCCAAATGACATAGGTCATCTGCCACAACTCTCAGCGCCGAGAACGTTGCAGCCTATCTCCAATATCCCTTTGAGCAATAGTCATTTTGGAGGAAACTTGCAGGGATTGAAAAGTCAAAGGGAGACTAATTTTGCTGACTATTCGTCAGCTAAAGAAGACAAAAGTATCTCAGATATCAAAAATGAATCTCAGAAAAGCAATGAGACTGGAGAAAATAAAGACCCTTTGGCAACTCAGACACAAGAAAAGAACAGTCTAGGATCTCTTAGTTTGGGAATGGACACAGCTTCTTCCAAAAATGTAAAAGATGATGACGAAAAAGCAAGAACGGGCACAGGAACTAATGATCATGGGTAAGTATGTTTTCTCATGCTTATTCTTAACAAATGGATTACATACACATTCCTTTTTTGTAGTAATCAAACTAAAATCCTTTGGGATTATATATATATATATATATATATATATATATATATATATATATATATATATATATATATATATATATATATATATTATTATATATTTATTTATTTATGTATGTATATATCAAATTCTCAATTAAAGGCTTGTACCTACGTACCCAATCTATTTTTCATCCTCCTTAACTCCTTTTTTCCTTTCATGTGCAGAAAGAAAGAAAAGTTGGAAGTCCAGGCAGAAGGAACAAACCAGGAAGCAGGTGATTCTTTAACAGGTATTACAGTGGACTTGTCTTTTTTTACTTTTTCAATGCAATCCTTCTCTTTAGTATCCTGTGCTTCTAGGTTGGTAATGAGTGTTGACCAAACTAATTCCTCATTTTTATGGTGTGGCTTATAAAGTGTGAAGAATTAATTCATTATTTTAACAAAGGGGAAGAAATTTTATAATAACTGGATGTTGTTTTTTAATGTGTGAAGAATCTCTTTATTTTAGTAAAAGGAAAGACATTTTATAATATCTGGACATCCTATAGGTAGCATGAAAGGGAAAGAATGTTGTTGTTGATACTTGCAATTGAAAACCTTATTATTTCTTTGTTGCATTTTTTTTCTTTCTTTTCTTTCTTTCTTTCAATAAATATTACCAGCATCATTTCTCATTTGCGCAAAACTAAATGTATATGTAAATTGCTATTAAAAGATGTTATTGAGAAATGTTGCCATTTGCTAGTCATACTTTTTTTTTTTTTTTTTTTTTTTTTTTTTTTTTTTTTTTTTTTTTGAGAAGACATAAAAACAGAACAACTAATCTGGCATGAAGATTAAGATGGCATTTTATACATTTAAGATTAACTGCAACAATAGGCAAACATGTGAAAAGATATTGCCTTAAACTCTCAATGAAGGATGATAGCTACAATTTGTTTCATTTTACATCTTAATTTACTTTGAAACTGCAGTAATGCAAGTAGATAAGGCCATATTGTTTTTACATTGAAAAGTATTCATATATTCATATCTGTTGTTTTGTATTCTGATTCATTTATTTCAAAACTGGTACAAGTTTTATTGATATAATGATTTGTCCTACCTAGAAACTATAGTTTTAATTATGATGTTTTACATCCCTATTTTACTGAAAAAAGTTGCTTATTGCAATTTTTAAAAAAGAAATATTGTTTTAGCATTTCCATGACATTTTAAGCTATATGTATCATCATTCCTGATAGCAATGATAGGCAGTGTCTTTTATTGGTTCCAGGTTTAGAAAAGCAGTATGAGGACGACTTTTCATCCATGAGTGAGAAGGAAGGCCAAGATGATGGTGAAGATGATGATGTTGAAGAGGAAGATGAAGAAATTGAAGAAGCAGAAGACATTGATGAAGATATTTCATTGGATGATTTGATTAACTCTAGTGCATCAATAGTAAGTACTGTTGATAGATTCATGTAAATGGGGTAGCATGTTATTCCTGTTTTCGTAAGTGTTAACCTAATGCTAATGCTAAGTAACTTTTGCAAATTACTTGTAAAAAAAAGGATCAATCATCCCTTCTGTAGTTATTTCATTTCATTAAAGAAAGAATGCATTTAAACTGATATCAAGTGTAATGATATGAAAGCAAGAAATAAGATCATTAGAGATAAATTAAAATTATCTGTCATACTCTTTAAACATTTCACAAACATTATATAAGTAAACTAAATATAACAGATTGTTACATAAGGTATTCTTGATTCCCAAAATGTAGGTTAGTACAGATTAACTATTATTTTAAGTCATTTATGATATATGGGTTATACAGCTGTCTCTCTTGATATGTATGTTTCCATTTAAGCTCACCAAGTTTTAAGATGTAATCAGACTTTAAATAACTTCGTAACTTCAAAAAATGGATAAAATTATGTTGGCTCTAAAAATTAATGATCACCTTAACATGCTTCAAATTATGTAGTGAAGTTTGAGTAATGAAAGAGAAGAATACAAATGGCTGAGGAGTTGCATGTGACTGCATTTGAGTGTAATTATATAAGCCATGTTAATTGTGTATAGAACATAAAATTTAGGGAAACAGCATTAATTTAATGTGATGAAATCTCACTTTCCCATGTAATTATGTCCATGCTATTAAATAGGATGCTACAAAATTGCAAACCTAATTTGTCATTTTCTATTTCAGAATTCTGACCACACTAAGGATCAGTCTTTATCACAAGCTAGTGATGCACCGAATTACCAAGAGGACTTATGAATCTTTTAGGAAATTACACAAGAAATAGCTAGCGACTACTTGAATGAAAAATAATAATGTGGATGTAAACCAAGCTCTCTTTTAAAACAATGTATTTGTAAATGACATTCCAGCTTCCTTTTTTGGAAGTACATACACATTAGATTTTTAATACTGATATTGAAAAAAAATTACAGAATGTAGAGCATTAATGAGACAAAATATAATTAAATTAGTTTTTGCAACTTGATTTCTGTTCAATCTTCGAGAATGAAATTTGTAAAATTTTGTAGGATATGTGTGATCAGATTTTTTTTTTTTTCTATACAGCATTTATTATGTGCCATATGTTGTCAAGTGAAGGTAGACATTGTTATAAATTCTTTGTAAAGGTGAATGCATTATACAATGTATAAAAATATATAAATTTAAATGTTTTTTAGTACATCCTAAACATACTTGAGCAATCATGGACATAATCACTTTTATTTTTGTTTGACTGTGTAATAAGAATCATAACAGTTTTGGTTTTCAAAACACAGCTTGGCATCTGTAAAGTTTCACTACTCCCAATGGGAGGTCCCCACAAATGATGTTTATATATGTACCTAAAAGATATAGGGGGTTTCTCAGAGAGCCCCCAAACATCTGACCATGCCACTCCAATCTATGTGAACAGATTGTAAAAAGTATTCTTAATCTTCGGAAGGGTATTTAAACATTTACATTGTACAAAGTTTACATGTTTTCTCTAAATCCATCACATTGTAACAGATGCTGCCAAATTTCAGTTTCCTAGTTTCTTCATGTCGTTATACACCTTTTTACCACTAACTTTACTACTGTTCAGAATCATCAGGAGTATACCTCACTTGTTTCCTTTGAAGGAGCAGCTCTTATTCCACCCTATTTCTGCAATTTATCAAATTCAAATTCAAATAGTCTACAAGTTGTTCAGTTCCCAAGACCTGTCCCATTAATTCTTACAACCTATTCACAAGCCACTTCATTGAAAAATTAGAAGTGCAGGAAACTACATTTATCATGCTATTTAGTCTTTGCTAGAGTGTACACACTGTGTTTTGAAAATGAGACTGTGCTCAAACAGATTGCTATGCTGTACGAGAAACACTACTTCATCACCTGATAACCTGACAGTAGCTTAGTGCAAGGAGCCATTAAATCTAATGATCCTATATATTAGTGGAAGGAATTATACCTGGCTTGCTGCATTCTAGATTCTGCACATATTTAACTTACTGCTCCTACCTTTCCCAATCTTTTTGTCTCACTTTCCTCATCCTAGCAGATGGATCACCACTGAAGATATTTTTCCAGGAATGGTTTTTATTGCAATGGGTTTTGGTTAATGGTTGAAATGTGATCTCACCCTTAAATCTCAGACTTTTCCAACTTCTCCAGCTTGTCCTCTCAAACAACTTGCAACTACAAGGAGAGGTTTTGTCGATACTCTCCCATACTTTAGTGTCCATGTTCCTCATCTCTAACAGTTGTTCCTTAGCCCAAGACCATGTACTGAGGCCTGAGGCCCAATGCAGGAGTGGCTTCCCTACAATTGGCTGAGGTTTAACGGAGTCGTGTTAACATCAAGTTCTTTTATATCCACTGTATATTTCGCTTGGGTCCTGCTCCCTTCATGCACTTCTCACAAATACCGTTTTCCTCATGCAACTTACTAAGGTATTCAAACAAGCAAATGCTGTACATATTTTATTTTTTGGTATAACATACAGTAAATTGAACTGGCAGTGTGAGATGAAATAATGAAGAACAATATATCTTTAATCTGGAATGGTAAAATATCTGAAGTTGAAACAATCACATACCCTGGCAGCCATAAGATCAACAACCATGCACATATAGATACCATAAATGCAAGGTTCTCAATAAGCACTTGTGTAAATTGTAATAATGCATAAATAATATATTCAAATATTCAAAGTGCTTATGTTATGCCAACTGCACTATGTGTGTACAATTTTTTTATTAAAAGAAAGAAAATTATGCTTGTTAATCCTATATGCTGCCTGTGTATTCTCGAACACCAGTATAAAATAACATTATAAAAACAGTACTGTACACATAATAGATTCCTTCACTAACACGCAAAATTCATACAACTTGGATGATGTGAACTAGTCTTTTAAAGGTAATATGATTCTAAGTATTTAACCTATAAAGCCAGTAGAAGTCTGACTTCTTTGTAACTCGAGCTGAATAGTTTGAGACAGTAGTTCTAAGTGGAAGCCAGGCCCTGGGTCACTTGGGGAAGGAGCTGTGCTGGGATTGTGTGTGCCATCAGCCCTCAACTCTGTACCAGACTCTCCTGAGCCTGTGCTAAATTTTAGCTCTTGTCTATGGCCCTCTTCTAACACATTTTCCTCTGAAATTGACAAAAGAAAAATACTGCAAATAGGCCTGCATTATAAATAACTTATTCTCAAAGGAAATAATAACACATAAACAAAAATAAAGATATACAGATATATATATATAAAGATAGATACAAGTATGAACATAAATATAAATATAGACTTAGTTATGATTATTTACAGATGTAAATGCTGACATCTCTATATGTATACACCATATGTCATGTGTTTCCCATGTCCACAATATGGCCTAGGATATACAATATGACATGATTTGGAATTTGTACAATCACTATATCATAAACTTTGCAAAGCTGCAAGGAAAGATAATGTAGTGTTTACTGGATGCTGCTGCCTGTGGATTAAAGTATAAACTGTTGATGGCAACTTCTCCTTTGTATGTAGGAAAAGTTAAAGGTCCAATCAAAATATTGTTAGAAATGTTTAGTAAATACATATGCCAGAAACACAGGTACTTATATCTTCATGTATGATGAGTTAAATCTTTTATGTACTATTATGTATATATACCTATAAGTATTATCCCTTTGTATACAAAAGATACATTATATATGCTGCATGTGGGAATTATAAGATCCCTATGCCTAGTTACATGTGTGAAGTTCCGTTTCCCAATCAATATATCTGCTCTCCTATTACAATGAGATGAAATCTGGTGGTAAACTATTTAAAAGATAGGTAGTAAACAAAAACATACTGTAAGAAAAGCAAGATTAATGAAATGTCAATGTATGCTGCTCACTAGAAATTTTCATTCATAGTCTGATAAGATGTATAGTTTCAAACTATAAATAAAAAAATATGGCATTACACTACGACTGTAATTAAATATGGATTTACTATCACATAAATTTAATTCTTTCACTTCTCTCAGTGGAATACACCCCACTTACCAGTTATTATAGTTTGAGCATCTTGACCTTGATCTATTTGTCCCTGGTTGTTTAGACGATGGTGTAGCTGGCCATTAGAGGATACTAGAGAAGGTCCTACTGATGAGGAGAGGTGTTCTATCTGGTCCAAGGAAGTCCCATCAACTTCACCAACCTTTCATAGAGAGATTATGGTATTTATAATATCTTTAAGCATATAGTGTTAGTTCTACCATGAAAGGTGTCAAAATGGTGAGGCCCTTTCATAGAAAAGGGGCTCACCTGTAATCCATGCTGGTTTCACCAGTATGGATTACAGGAAATAAAGAAGTCAAACTGTGATTGAGGCTCTACTACTTGTGATACTGTCAAAGCAATTACCTATGCTACCAAATTCAAGGTATAGGAAGAGGCATCATCATATAGTCTTGAATGATGTTGATAGTCAGCAGTTTTTTGTGTAGCTCCATTCCTTTTAACAATCTAAAAATGGATGCATATACAATTATGTATGCTTATCTAATGCTATTTTTGACCATAGTATATGTATAAAGTAGGATTATGTGAAGCAAAGACACAAAAAATTTTATAAAATTACAGAAGGTAAAAAAACTGAAAAAGAAACAAAGCTATACGGACATCCAGGTAAAGCCAAAATCACTTATCTAAGCCCATGACTTCTATTCTTCCATGGGAAAGTACAGCTATGTTATGGCCTCCTTGCTTCACATTAGGTCAATGGTGGACTGGCACATGCCTTCTAAACATTTACTCAAAAGATTTTCCTATTTCTTCAATCAAACAAGAAATGTAACTAAGCTTTTTCACCCAAAAATCTGTAAAAGAATAATGAGTTGGGTATGTCTAGCACAATAATGTCAATGTAACTACATAATTTGTTGTTAGCATTCCCTTACCTGTTGTGATGGAGCTTGTGCAGGATCAGCTGTATACATGATGTTTAAACCATGAGTGCTTGGGACTGCATTGGGAGCAACTTCCTCATCTGGGTTGTTGATCATTATATAGGTTGCATGGTCAACTGTTGGGGTCACACCTGGTCCCCCTGCTGGTGTGGTGAGGGCTACACCATAAGAACAGTTTACACCATTTTCTCCTGTTCCTCTGATTGGGATTAGTGCTGGTATTGCTAAAGGATCACTGCTGATGAAAATACCATCTTTTGTGGTCACAGATCCACTCAGACTAGCAGATTCCAAGTCAGTTGGCAACAACTGATCTGGGAGGATGTGGGCTGGGGTTCCACTAGGCAACAAGAATTCTGTAATGTCCTTAGATTTAACGGGATGATTTCCCTGATCAATATGTTGTTGTGATGCCTGCTGCTGCAGTTGCTGTTCTTTTTGCTGTTTGGCTGAAGACTTTTTATCACTGTGATGAACCTTGCGAATGTGAGACGTAAGATCACCTTTGACTGCAAAAGACCTACAGCAAATTGCACAAGTATAATGTTTTTCCTTTTCATGTCTTTTTTTATGTCTTGCAACGCATTTTGCAGTCCGAAAAGCCTTACCACATATGTCACATGAATGAGATCTTTCCTGTCTGTGGAAAACCATGTGTTCTAACAGGTATCTGCTATCAACATAGCCCTTCCCACAAACATTACAGATGTTTGGCCTTTCGTTTGTATGGTGTTGTAAATAATGATGTTTATGATCTCGTTTTGCATTAAAACCTATTCCACATAAATTGCATACCCATGGTTTGTCTAAATTATGTAAAACTAAGTGTTTGGCTAAATTTCCCCTTGAGCTTAAGACTTTACTGCAAATGTAACACGTATGAGGATCACGACTACCATGTCCAGCTGGGGGAACTTTATATTCACGTTGACGAATTGGCTTCCCGTCACTTCCAAGTTTTCTGACATATTTCCTTTTCTCACTCTTTTCACGTGGTTTTGCTTTGGGGCCTGGCTTTCGCTTCCGTTTCTTCACAGTTACTTCAAGTGGCGGGGTTTGAGGAGGAGTATCCCCTGGGTTGTCGGCCATTTCTTCTTCCAACTTTGTATCAACCACATCCTTATTCCACCTACCCTTGGCACAATCATTTTGCAAAGATGAATTAAAGACTGACTTAACAGTGACTGGTGATTTGACTCTTGTGCTCTTTTTGGCTTTTTGATGTGGGGTTGTGAATTTAAATAATGCTGATGAAAGCTCCTGAACAGAATGAGTCATATGATGTTGATTTAATTCCTTGGGATCTGTAAACTCACTGCCACATACAGCACAGTTCCAAGTAGTTTCACAGTCAGGTGATTCTACATTCTTTTCTTGAACTTTTTGTTCATCCTGAGCATCTTTCATAGCATCATCTGGCTGTGAATCTCCCTGTTCTAATTTCAGATCATAAGATGGATCTTCAGATTCTCTCAAAGGAGACATCAGGGCATCAACTGTAGACTGCGATGTTGTAGTTGCAAATACAACATTATTTGGGTTTTCTGTGCAGTCTTTTTCTTGGTGTTGCCCTACTGCTTCAGAACTTGAGAATGCTAGGCTGCAGTAAGCACAAGTCCAAACTACACTGCATTCTGGGCTGACATCTCCTTCATCTCTGATGGCAGGCCTGATAACTTCTGTCTGACGATACTGGTTGGGTGCAACAGCATTGATGATGCTACTCTCTGATAATTTTGTATGAACTAATGTTCCTGTTCTTGTGAGCATGTTGAAACCATGAGCATTATGGGAGGTGTTATCAGTTTCCTGCTCTGCAATGATACGAACCATGTCTAAGCTAAGAGAATCGTCACTTAGAAGTTTCACAATCACCTGTGGTACTTTTCTGCAGTTGCTGGCCACATTTGGACAATCTGAAGGTGCCACCATTGTTGTTACAACTGCATCTATTGAGGATGATGTAACAAGGTTTCCATCAATCACACCATCCCCAGAGGTTGTCACAATTTGATTCATATTCATTGGCGAGACTTGGTTATGTGTATTTGAATCTACAGCAGGTATAGCAGCAGCAGTAATTGTGTCACTATTTGCGATGGTAGATCTAGCGAAATTATCTGTTGGAGTGGATGTAGTAGGAATAGTACTTGTGGCTGCTGCACTAGTGAGCGATGTGATGGCCAAGTTGCCATTGGTTGACAGAGATGGAGCTGTTAATCTTACTCCTCCAGAAAATGACGTGGTTGTAAGGGCATTTGTGGCAGTATGGGAATTATTGGCCAATGCAGGTGCTACAAGACCTTCACCCCCTGATAATGTGACAGTGGTAAGTGAATCTGTACTGGACAGAGTTTCAGTTGCTAGCTTTAATGTTGCTGTTGCATCTTGAGGGAGCTTCATGTGATCATAATGATCGTACATAATATGATACTCTGCATCCTCTACTCCTGTTGACTCTTGATACCTGTTGATAAAATGAAAAAAACATAGTTACCTGATATTTAAAACTTCATTCATATGATTTAAATGTACTTATATAAAGACATTTGAGACAATAAATAGCTTATTTCCTTAATGTTGAAATTCTAAAACTACAGGGTATATATATTTTATCTGAAATTTACATACATCTATAAGACACCCAAAGGAAGTTTTTCTCATAGGTATAGCAACTGTACTCAATCAAAATCTATTTGAACTTATTATGACTTATGACAGAAGGTCCACACTAAATACCAATAGTATTATTGTATAGTATGGAGCACTTGTCACAGCCTTATGGTCTTCGGCACTCCAGCAAAGGACAAGCTCTTTATTCTGACATTACATTTCAAGGTTTGATTTTCATCTAAAAGAAATTACCAAGGAGATCTACAAATTGCCAGAATGTAGGTGGTGTAGGGTCACTATTCCTTCTAAATTTATAGATATCAACAATAAAAGTGAGGTATTTGTCAAGGAGGTCTATGTAAAACATGAATAATGCATATACCTTTCATAGAAACAAAATACCTTCTTTCTAATAAGAGCCAGGCTGTTTCCTCGATTAAATTTCTTTATTCAACAGATTACAATCACTTATGTCAATGTTATAGTTTGCCATCTCTAAATCTGTGTAAAACCAACAAATTAACCCATATTAAGCTATACAAATATTAATCAGTTGGCAAAGAGAGACATTATACTTACATGTTTAAAACTATTGTGAAATTCTGATCGCTAAGAAGTGTGTCTAGATATTCCTTATTATTTAGTTGAAAAAGACAAGAAGGAGGTTATCATTTATGCTAAGACTATACGGAATTAGCCTTGAAACAATAACATTGCATGGACCAAGAAAACAGAATCACTTTCATGGAATCGAAAGCGCTAAATATATTTCAATACTCTATAACCGAACAAGAGGATATAAGATTCGAACTCAAGTGCTATCACATTCACAATTTTAACACTAGTTTTGATAGATACAGCTCTTGTATCTTGATTAAACTTTATGTGAATTCTCCTAAAACGTAACTTCATCCAAAGCTATACAATTCCAAAAGGAAAAATACTATATAAAGAGTCTTTTCAATGAGTTTATGCTATGATTTTTAGGAAACGAATCCGCATGCCTCTTACGCGAACGACCTTTGGATTCAGGAGCTTATAATTTTACGCATGTTGTCAGCGAAGGTAAACAAACCACATGCGGTGTTGAGGCAGTCGGACTGGGACGAACGGAGTCAATTTGCCGATATTTCTGCGGAGATTTACATAATGGATTACATATAAGCAATAGAGGAAATCAGAAAAAAGGAGCTAGGAGGTAGAGACAGTGCTATGGTCTTAAATCTCAGCAAAGAAGAAATTATGAGGTTTCAAAATAGTGCAACCATTATGGAAATGATGAAAGGGAAAACAATTATTGGGGGATATAAACTGTTGAGTAGTGTAAAACCATATGACATAAGAGATAAAAATTACAAAATACTATGTTGGATTGTTTAAGAATCATTTGTATTTCATTGTGGTATTTGTGTGGTGTAATAATTTTCTCAATGAGGATATGGAAAGCTCGGCAAATAAGCACACTGCTAGATATCTGCATGCTTTATCAGGGTTTTATTGTTTGAAGACAGCCAGTTGTCATTATTATTAAGTAATCATTATCTATGGTTAGCTGATTTACTATAGATTAATGTAGGGGAGTTATTATTCACATCATTGTCACAATAATACATTTCAAAGATTACTGAAGGCAATCCTTTTGGGTCATGCTGTGACATAGAAGTGCATATGAATTTCCTCATTTCTCAAAGGTCTGTTAAATGATGGGATAATGTAACAGAAAGTAAACTGCCTGTCACTGATACTAAGGACTTTGGGTAACCGGACTTTGATATTGATGGATTACATTTGATATCCACTGTTCTGATATACTAATATTAGTTTGTGGAAACTGACTATTTATCAGTTTGGCTTAATTACCCATCATGTAATAGGTGAAGATGTTCATAGATAAGCAGAGTAATTTTTTTTTACTGCATTCTGTCTGTACTGTGCCAAGCAACTGTAATTGAAAACTACCCATCTGTTATGCATGCTTGGTTTGAGTACAGGAAGGAAAAAAACATTATTAAGATTATTAGATTAATATATATATATATATATATATATATATATATATATTATATATATATATTATATATATAATATATATATATATATATATATATATTATATATATATATATATATATATATATATATATATATATATATATATACGTATATATATATATATATACGTATGTATGTATACGTATGTATACGTATGTATACGTATGTATACGTATGTATACGTATACAAGATAGAGTTATGGCAGCTGTATTCCCTTATCCATTTTCTAGAGTTACGGTAATCCACTGTGCATGTGCATAATCTGGTCACTTTCACAATCACTTATGTTTGATGAGACCTTTTCCCATTTCCAACTGAACCTAACCACCCGAACCTAACCTAACCAAACCAACCTAATCTAACCTAATCTAACCTAATCTAACCTAACCTAACCAAACCAACCTAATCTAACCTAACCTAACCTAACCTAACCAACATAACCAACTTAACCTAACTGGTTAGGTTAAGTTTGGATAGGTGTGTTAGGTTAGGGTAGGTCAGGTTGGTTAGGTTAATTTAGTTTATGTTAGATTGGTTAGGTTAAATTAGGTTGGTTAGGTTAGATTAGGAAGGTTAGGTTAGGTTAGGTTGATTAGGTAAGATTATTTTTGTAGAATGCAAAACCAGAACCTAAACATGCACATGCATGCTCAAATGGCACTGTCGTAGCACTAGCACAGTTATATATATATATATATATATATATATATATATATATATATATATATATATATATATATATATATATATATATATATATATATATATATATATATATATATATATATATACGTCTGTGTGTGTTAGTTTCCAGTGTATTATTCATTTTATTATATCAGTCCTTTTCAGTAATTTAATTTCCCCAGTGTTACTGTAGGATGATACAGTGAAATATTTCATTACAAGATTTTATTGTTACAAGAAAGAAAATGTATGCATGATATTATTAAAAAAATAGTTGGTCAGTGTTCAGTGCTTAGACCTGGGACAAGACTGTAAAATGATGAAAAAAATATATAAAGTGAAGTGAAAGATCAATATCCACCTTTATTTCAGAATAGCAAGAGTAAAACCAGTGATATCAAGAAATTGATGCTGATAGTTGTAAGATTGAGGACATTTGGTTCATTGTTGTAAGTGTTCCACAGCAAAATATGAAAGCATGTTCTTGTAACCCAAATGAGTGTTTAGAGGGTGTAGACATGGAAATAGTCTTGAATTATTGATTTTGCTGGCCAAGTATGTGGAAAGGAAATTTTAATATTTATACTGTTAGCACTCTTATCAACTGATATAATTTATCTGCCCCCCCCCTCCTCTCTCTCCTCTCTCTCTCTCTCTCTCTCTCTCTCTCTCTCTCTCTCTCTCTCTCTCTCTCTCTCTCTCTCTCTCTCTCTCTCTCTCTCTCTCTCTCTCTCTCTCTCTCTCTCTCTCTCTCTCTCTCTCTCTCTCTCTCTCTCTCTCTCTCTCTCTCTCTCTCTCTCTCTCTCTCTCTCTCTCTCTCTCTCTCTCTCTCTCTCTCTCTCTCTCTCTCTCTCTCTCTCTCTCTCTCTCTCTCTCTCTCTCTCTCTCTCTCTCTCTCTCTCTCTCTCTCTCTCTCTCTCTCTCTCTCTCTCTCTCTCAAAATATTATCTTTTCAGAAATAAATTCTTACAATACGAGAGGATAACAGTCAGTGTGAGGATGGCTTCCAGTGAAAAAGGAAGTGAAGAAACAGGTGGCAGCAACGGAGGAAATGATGAGATGGGATTTGTGATAGATAAGCGTCCTTTTACCCATGTCCAAGAAGGAAAAGCAGAAGTACTTTTTCCAAGCTCTCATGATGTTTTTTACAATCCTGTGCAAGAATTTAACAGAGACTTAAGGTAAACTAGTAATGAGAAACACTCAGATGTTTTAGACAAGTTTTTTTTTTTAGGTATCTAACATCAATGAATGATCATTTCACCCATTGCCGCTAGGAATATGTCCACTGCAGTATTGTTTTGTGAAATGTGTCTACAATTATCAGCCACCAAGAAGTCAAATAATAGGCCTATGTAACCAAACCTGATTTCCCCTTTCCTTGAGTTTATTGGGATTTTGTTTTTTTCTCTGTCTCTCTCAAGTGTCATTAATATTGATGATGATATTGTTATTGATTGCATGATTACTGTAATGTTATTATCAGTAGTAATTACAATATAGAATAAAAAATATTTCCAAAAATCAAGGTATAAGGTAAACAGGTGAGATAAGCAGGACAAGTAATTGACTTCTTGGTGACTAAGTACGTATGGAGGCTTTGGTGTGTTAAAATAGTAAACTAAATTCAGTGGGCATGGCATGTATGTATGTACCACCTCATTTGTTAATGAGTAAGAGCCTAATCTTTATATGATTTCCAGGTCACTTTCTTTTCTTTTATTTCATGTTTTTTAAGGATTTCCTCAGTTCAGAAATTTACTAATAATAACTTGTATATAGTGTTGCAGTGTTGAGAGTCTTTGCGGCAGAATATAAAGAGAAAGAGAAGCAGAAAAAGAAGAAAGCAGAATTAAAGGAGAAAGCAAGGTTGTTAAAACTCTCAAAGGATGAAGAGGATGCTAAAAAGGAGACTGAAGGAACACAAGAATCTAACAAGGAAGTGAACACAGAGGAAGTCCCTCCAGCAGAGAAAAAATTTACTATATTAGAACCGGGGAAGAAAGACCCAGAAGGCATAAGGATCTTGGAGGCTCTTGCAGCTTCGGGTCTTCGGTCAATACGCTATGCACATGAAGTTGGTGGTGTGGTGGAGATTGTGGCTAATGATTTCTCAAAGCAAGCAGTGGAGTGCATAGAACGTAACATCACCCACAATAAGGTGGAAGACATCGTTACGTCTAGTTACAGTGATGCCTCGTAAGTATTAAACTGTAGTTTATAATAATGTCTGTAACAAACTTCTCATGGCTATATACAATTTTACCTTTATTGTAAGTGTTTTAAAAATAAAGAAACTAAGAAGCATTTGTATTATAATATTTAGAAAAATATATTTTCCAAGAATATAGATCCAAGAATGAACAGTTATAATTTGGCTAAAGAATTGTTCCATCTCCGTAACTCAGGAAATAATATTTTCTGTCTGCTTCTATAACTTGAATTCTTCTTATTATTGCTTAATGGCTGAAGATTGTTTGTAGATTTTAATTTCTTGTTTTGATGGTCAGAATGAACCAATGTAATATGTAAAAAAAAAAAAAAAAAAAAAGTACTCAGGAGTGTCAAAAGAAGTGAATATATACTAATAGATTTATTTGTAAGTATATGAATCTTAGAAATGCACTAACACATAAATTGCACTTATTACAGCAGTAGAATCTTTTTAAAAATCAGATTAATGTGCATGAAATTCTTTCTGATGATTCAGAGAATGAGTCAAATGAGACATGTGCATTGTATAATTTCAGTAATGATCATGAGATAGACTAATGGGTTTTAACTGTGACCCCGATCCTGGAATTTGAGGACTGTTTTTATGCATTAATAAGATATTTGTTTTTCTTCTTGAACTGTGCAGTATGGCGATGTACAAGAGTTACGAGCAAGGAAAAAGATTTCACGCCATTGATCTTGACCCATATGGCTCTCCACACATATTTCTGGATAGCGCCGTGAAGAGTGTGGCAGATGGAGGTATTCTCCTGGTTACCTGCACAGACATGGCTGTACTGTGTGGTAATTCACCAGAAACCTGTTACACAAAATATGGAGCTTTGTCTATCAAAAGCAAAGCTTGTCATGAAATAGTGAGTTGAAGTGCCAAGGCATGGTTGCATATACTATACAATATTGATTTATATGTTGATAGGCTTCATTTCTAAATTTAAAATGTCTTCTTTAGATAGCTTATTTTACTGGACATCATTCAGGGGATACATAACTATAAATCTTACAAGGTTAAGAAATGTAAATAGTCTTGTATTTACTTGGGATGTTTTTGTAATATATAAAAAACAAAAGGGA